CTATCAATTTCTAGTGTTGACTTTGGGTTCTGCTACACTACTAAATTTGTTTATTAATTCTAGGAGTCTTCTGATGAAATTTTTGGGTCTTCCATATAGAGTAACATGTTACCTGTGAATAATGGTAATTTTACTTTTCCTTTTCCATTTCTTATTTTTTTTTTATCTCACTCTTGTCTAATCGTTCTAGCTAATGTTTCCAGAACTATATTGAATAGGAGCATGTTAGTGGACATCCTTATCTTGTACCTAACTTTATTTTATTTATTTATTTTTGTACCTAATTTTAGAGTGAAAGCTTTCAGTTTTTGTCCAGTTAGTATGATGTTGGCTGTTGGTTTGTCACAAATAATTTTAATCAGACTGAGGTAAAGACCATCTATTCTGATTTTCTGTAGGTTTTTCTTTTTAACATGAATGAATGGTGGACTTTATCAAAGCTTTTTCTGCCTCTATTGACATGATCATGAGATTTTTGTTTTTGACTCTGTTGATACAGTGTATTACACTTATTGATTTGCATATATTGAACCATCTCTGGGATGGTCATGGTATAGCATCTTCTTGATGATTTTCTGCATTCTATTTACTACTATTTTATTGAGAATTTTTGCATCTGTTCATTAGGGAAATTGGCTGCTAGTTCTTATTTTGTTTGGGTCATTCTTTGGTATCAGCATAGTATCTGTCCACAGACATGAGTTAGGGAGAATTGTTTTCCTTTCAATTTCATTGAAGAGTTTGAGGAATAGTGGCATTAAATCTTCTCTAAATTTCCTGTAGCATTCAGCTATGAATGCATTAGGAACTGGGCTTTTCTTTGTTGGTAAGTTTTTAATTACATTTTCAATTCATTGACTGATATTGGGTTATTCAGAAGTTTTATATATTTTGTTGATTCATTTTTGGAATTTACATGTTCCTAGGATCTGTCTGTTTCTTCTGTGTTTTCCATCCTCTGAGAGTAAACATTTTGGAGGGAAGTTGATGATCTTCTGAATTTCCACAGGATTTCTAGTGGTTTCACCCATTTCATTTCTTATTCCATAAATTTCAGTGTTTTTCTTTCCTTTTTTTGATAAGGCTGGCTAGGAGTTTATCAATTTTATTTATTCTTTCAAAGGACAAGCTCTTTGATTCATTAATTCCTTGTATCGTTTTCTTCATCTCAGTTGCATTAATTTCTGCTCTGATCTATAATTTCCTCCCTTCTTTGAGCTTTGGCTTGACCACCTCCTCCTCTCTCTCCCTCTCCCCCTCCTTTTCCTCTTCTTCCACAGATTCTGGTAAGCTGTATATGCATTTTTGTTTGATTGTAGATATTGTTTAATTTTTAAAATTTTATCTGTCATCCATTGGTTGTTCAGGAGGGTATTATCAATTTCCACATTTATGGCTTTTTTGTGGTTTCTTTGGTCATTAATTTCTAATTTCATAGTACTATGGTCAGATATGCATAGGATAATTTCAATTCCTTTGCATTTACTTAAGCATGTTCTATGGGTTAGTATGTGATCCATTTTAGAGCATGTCCTGTTTATATCTGAGAAGAATATATATTCTGGTGTTGGGTGAAATACTCTGTAAACCTCTATTAAGTCCATTTGTTCATAAGTTTGGTTCTGTTCTGTTATTTGTTTGCCAATTTTTTTTCTAGGTGTTCTACTTCTTTGTGTCAATGGTGTGTTAATGTCCTCCATTACAATTGTGCTACTAGTTATTTGGTCTTTCATGTGTATTAAAATTTGTCTCTCTACTCTGGTTTCTCTTCAGATTGTATAAATCTTTCACCTTTTAAAATCTGTCTCTCATTTGTTGCTTATTTATGATTGTTATCTCTTCCTCTTGAAGTTTTCCCTTAACAAGTACTTAGTGACCTTCTTTATCTCATTTGATCATTCCTCATTTGAAGTTCACTTTGTCCTCAAACAGCTACCTCTTCTTTTTTCTGGGTTCGTATTGCCTGGAGTATTGTTTTCCATCCTTTTTTTTTTTTTCAGTCTATGAATTTCCATTGAGTTAAATGTGTTTCTTGTATACAGAATATTGTTGGATTTTGTTTTTTGATCTACTCTGCCAGTCTGTTTTTATTAACTGGTAAACTGAGCCATTTACATTGATGGTTATAACTGATATGTACTGGTTTATCTTTATCATGTTATTTTTCTAGCTGTTGCTTTTCTACTTTTTCCCTGTGTCTAATTGCTTGCTTCACTTGGTGGTTTGTGTTGTTGATATTGGAATCATAGTCATTTTTATCTTTTTCTATAATATATGTCAGTATTCTTTTTAGGGTTGATTTGGTGGTTATGAATTTCTTCAGTTGTTCTTACTTATCCATTTTCTGAAAGATAGTTTTTGTATATCAGTCTGGATTGGAAGTTGTTTTCTTCCAGGAGTTGAAATACTTCACTCCAAGCTCTTCTTGACTTGATGGCTTGTGTTGAGAAATCTGCACTGACTAGGATGGACTTTCCTTTATAAGTGATGCGATTTCTTTTCTTTTCTTTCTTTCTTTCACCTGAGAGATCATTTCTGATCTGATTCCCTCTATAGCTTCCTAGAGTTCTTTTTTTAGTTCAGTGGCTACCATTTCAGAAATTTCAGGTGTGTGACTTTCTTCTACGTTGGTGTCTCAACTTGTTCTGGATGAGCTGGAGGTACGAGACTACATCTTGTTCCTTTGTCTTGGTGTTTTGTGGCTTCCTTTGGTGGAGTAGGTTGCCAGGTTACAGATGCTACCCCACTGGTAGCTCTTTCCACATTGTAGTGGAATGGGTCAGTTACCTGGGTTCTCCTGGAAGAGATGGTTTCAGATTCCCAGGCACTTTCTGCACTGGCTGCCCTTCCTACAGTGGAGGGGAATGGGTCAGGTATCATGTGCCTCTGGCCCAGCCAGTTTCAGGGTCTTACCACTCTGCCACATACATTTTTAAGAAAAATAATTTTAAAAGTGATTATGTAAATCACTGAACACATGCAAACATGATAGAAATATATGTCACTGAGGTAAGTTCTTTGTTTCCCTTCCCATGTATTGTGAGAGCAGTGTACAAAGTAGAAGTGTATGCACTAGCCTCAGGAACAGTGTGTCCCAATAATAAATAGCATTTTCATCCAGCAGCTAGAAAGAAAGATGTGCTGTCCACAAACAGCTATGAGTGGAGGAAAGCCAATTTTCTTGGTGGCAGCTATAGCATCAGCAATCTTCTACATAGATAAAGCAAAGTCAGTACTTTAAGTATATAACACTGATCTGAGAAATTATTCTTATGAGTTAAAAATTATTCACCCTAATAAAATGACCTTTAGGAAAAAAATTGTTCACCCAAATTCTTTTAATTTTTTTTTATGTGTTTAGTACAAGGTCTAAAGGCTCTCACTCTACAGATAAGACTCATAGCGATCCTCCTGTTTTCAGCCTCCCAAGCACTGGGGTTACAGGCACATGCCACCACGCCCAGTCTCATTCATCATCTCAGCACATCCCAGGGGTGGGGCAGGCATGGCACACCAGGGATCCAAATTCTAATAATAATTGATTTGCTAATGTTTTAGATTTATTCTAAGAGAAAGATACTCTACTAAAAGTATTAGGCTCATATTAATCTTAACATTTGGCCCTTATGTATTTGGTACTCCTGTAAGGCTAAATTTAATCATAAACAATGTGGTTTTAGGAATAAATGTAGAATTTTTTTTTTTAAATGTATTTGGTACAAGGTCTCACTACACAGCTCAGAGTCAGTGAGCCTTCTGTTCTCAGCCTCCCCAACACTGGGATTAGAGGCATGCACCACCATGTCCAAACTCAGTGGCTGGTGCAGTGAGCCCAGGCGTGGGGCCAGCATGGTACGTGGTGCCAGGGATTGAACCCTGGTCCCTGTGTTCACCTAACCAGGCTCTTAGTCAACTGAGCTATCTCACTGGTCCTAGAAATTCATTTTGAATGACTGTCTGGACTATATTAGTTAGGTGATTTTGACTGACAGGGAGTGTGGAAAGTCCCTATCCATGTCTTTCTAAGCCCCAGTGGCTCTTACAAAGAAAGAAAAAGGAATCTATCTTCCTAGTAAGGCAAACATTGTACACTCAGGGACATCTTTCAGAAGTTATTTTCTTGGCTCACCCTTTTCTCCTTGGTGAGACTGGATGTGGTGGCACACGCCTGTAATCCCAGATCTTGGGAGGCTGTAAACAGCAGATCACTATGAGTCCGAACTAGTAGTGAGACCCTGAACACCCTGTAGACCCTTCCCTAAAAAAACAAAAAAGATACTTAGCCTTATCTCCTTGGGCTGGACCCTTGTCCTTTGCTCTCTCTTCTTTTTCTCTGTCCTCTCAGATTGCTGGCAGTATCATAGGCTCCATTCTTCATAGCTGGCTGGATGTGTGGCCTGGAGACAAAGCTCCTACTACTATAGACGAAAGATTTGTATTCTTCTCACCTCAAATTCATGTGTTGAAACTTTATCCCCAATGTGATGGCACTTAAAGGTGGGGCCTTTGCCAGTGATCACAGGGTCAAAGCCGTAACAAATGAAATTAGTCTTTTTTTAAAGACGGCCCAGAAAACTCTCTTGTTCTTGTTGTCAGGTAAGAAAACAGAGATGACACAGTCTACAAAACAGGAAATAGGGCCTTCCTGGACAGCAAATATCCAGGAACTTATCACCTGGACTTTCTAGTCTCTGGAACTATGAAAAATAAATGTTTTATTTTTTTTTTTTTAGCTACCTAGGTTATAACATGAAATTATAACAGTTTGAACAAACTAAGAAAACACCCCCACAGGCATGTTTTGGGGTACATATCTTAGGAACAAACCACATTTAGTAGGTTTTAGCTGTATTTTTTAACATAGTTTATCAGAAACTCTACATACATATTAAGGATCAAATCTTAACGATGGGTGATAAAATAGATCCTTTGATTACCAGTTGCTGTCACACTGAGAGGGAGAAAAATGTTAGAGTGAGTCTCATTTCAACTTGATTTACCTGAAAAAGAAAACAGACGGCTGTCTACTGTCCGAGCAATGGACTGCAGCTTCACCACATCCATGGATTGCCCGATGTGAACAGTGCTAGGCATACTCCCCAGTGTTCCTCTTACAAACTCTGCCACCTCTTGCACAGTGAACATTTGTAGCAGTTCATCAAAGATGGTTGGGAAGGAATTGAGGAGTGCGGCCTGCAGAAACAAGTGAAGTGATGGTTAGTTAGTTTAGAGTTAGGTCTGAATTCATCTTGTATATTCAGTGAAAAGATGTGAAAAGAGGTCAAGAAGGCAATGCAGCACCTCTTTCACAGGAAGGTTTCTCCATGCTTCTTAACTCTACCTAACTTTATAGCACTGTTGGGGCATAAGCCAGGAGAACCAAAAAGTAAACCAGGGCAAGAAAATTTACTGAAGTTTACGTCACTTGAAGCTTTCACAACTTGCCTAGGCAAGAGAAGAAAGTATGAAGGGAAAATCTGCTCAATGTACCTTAAGAGCCATAGCTATTTTTGCTCATAAAATGAATTTTTTGTTTGTCAAGGTCTTCTTTTTTTTAAGCACTGGGGCTTGAACCCAGAGCCTTTAAGCTAAAATACAATATTTTCATTTTTTATTTTGAGACACATTCTCACTAAATTGCTGAATTACCCAGCCTGGGCTTTAATCTGCAATCTTCCTACTTTAGCCTCTCTCTGTGCTGCGATTATAGCCATGGGCCACCAAACCTCATTGTCAGATTGCTAGACTTTCCAACTTTGGTTCTAAACTCATGCCAGGAATATTTAGAGGAAAGTATGGTAGAGAAAGCTCAGTGCCAGTTAAACTTTGCTCAGACAACTGCAGCCAGTAATACAACTCTCATAGCTACACCAAAAAAAGAGATGTTGACATGGAATCATGAAATCTGAAGAGCCTGTGAATTAGTTCCTTCATCTGTGATGACTTGTACTCATACACAGATACTAACAACATGTGGCTGTGATAGGATAAATGGACATGAGAGAGGCTATCTGAACTTGGCCAACAGGTTTTTAGTTAATAACTGGTTTCCAAATGTCAAGGAATTATAATCCATTAGATAAAATTCTTATTCATTTTCTAAGAAAAAATAATCCCATGATGATGGAAATAAGTTTCAGCTTCATTAGTGCAAGGATTCATGCAAAAGGTAGCAATAAGCTGACCAAGCAATTTTAACTCAAGGAAGAAAATTTCCTTCCAATACTTACTACTGTTTTTGCATTTTATGTTTTACAATCTTTAGTTTTTGTTAGCACATTTTTTTTTTTTTTTTAAGGAAAGGGTCTACAGGGTGTTCAGGGTCTCACTACTAGATCCTACTCATAGTGATCTGCCTGTTTATAGCCTCCCAAGATCTGGGATTACAGGCATGCACCACCACACCCAGTCTCAGCGTGCCCCGGGGGTGGGGCCAGCATGGCAGGCCTAGGGATAGAACCCCTGGCCCCTGAGTCTGCTTGCAGGTGCTTTAATCCGCTAAGCTATTTGGCTGGCCCTAGTATATGTTTTTAATAAATAATAATCATATTTCTTCTGGGGACTTGATACATGTATATAACACATCTTAATATTTTTTTTTATCCTCTTCCCCTCTCTTCCCTTTCCCCTCCCTTCATATCTTGGTCCCCTTCTCATTTGCAAAAGATCTACCTCCCTAGCCAACACTGATATTTCTAATAGAATCTAATCCCAATTCTTAATTAATACTTTCTAGTTATTCTTATCATTTATATTCTAGTCAAAATCTGGAATGGATAAGTACTAATCAAAAAAAAAATACAGAGGTTAGTCAGAACATAAAATTCCCCATACATTCTGAATATCTTCTTTGAGTGAAATGATCATAAAATCCACACTAGGACAGTTAACAAATTTGTTCTAAAGAGGGTTCATTAGAACAAATTTGTACTGATTCTCCAGCATAAAGCTAATAAGCAGTTTTATACCTGGCAGCATACCTGGCTTCAAACTAAAAGCATTTTGTTAAGTGTTTTCATGTAAATTACCTCTTACCCAGTGCACAGGATTCTGGCAGGGATTCTGTAACTCTCTAAGCTAAAGGACAAAAAAACTCTGCTAAGACAAACAAGAAACTAGCAGCAAAACTCTGCAGCTCACAGACCTGAGTGAAAAGGAGTGTTTCTGAGTTTCTGCTGTCTAGACTGAGCACAAACCGAATGGACTGGAAAAGTTCTTGAATGCTGGATCGGAAGTGCTCCTCTTCCATCCCTCGTGTGGCTCGTGAGTACAGGACCCGGGACTGCACGATGAACTTGAAGAGGTATTCCAAAGCCTGGCGAGTGGGAAGAAAAGGAGTGGAGAGGCGCTGAGGGTGCTTGGAACTCACATAGCAGCCAAGAGCGAGAGAGCAGCAATTCTACACTAAGGTCAGAGGGTGGATGCGCTAAGGACATGGCGCTTTATATTTCAAAACTTTTTTCTCCAAAATCCAAAGTGTTACTAAATAGCAGTTGTTTTCTTAGAGAATGATCAAATTATTTTAAAACTTTTCTGAGGTTCTAGAACTAAGAAGTCATTAATTAGGCTACTATGGAAAGAGCTGAATTTAAGAGCAGTCAAAATCAAAAGAAAATGAAGCTTCTCTGTACTTTTTCCACCTCTAAAAATAGTAGGCTCCAAAGGCAAAGATATAATTACTCTTAGGTTTATTAAAAGAAGGAAGGGTTCTTTATAAGGAGTCTTCTGCATCTTTTGCCAGAGGTCACAGAAATCTGGAGAAAATATGTCTCAGGATGCATGGCAATTGGTGGGCCTGCCACATCCCCCTTTCACCCACATCCAACAAGAACATCTGCCATAAACAGTTCATGAGCTGTTTAGAAGGCAAAGACCTCCCATGTAGATCTGAAGCGGAACGTGACTCAGGTATCTAAGCAGTTTGCCTTATGCTTATGGGCAGAATTCCCTTTAAGAGAGTAGATTCAAGTTCTAAGTTTATGTATTTTATCAAAGAAAGGCCACAGATTTTCAGAGAATGAAAAGGCAAATGCATTGGATAAAACATGTGGGTCCTAGTTACTTGAATTATATGAAATATATGTATTACTTGAATTATATGAAATATATAGTACTTGAATTATATGAAATATATGTATTACTTGAATTAGATGAAATATATA